TGCTTGAAAGAGGCCAGGTATATTCTCTCACCAAAACCGAGGAGTGCTCAGTGAGTTCACACTAATTTATTATACATTCACTTACGGGGAAGGGGGTGAATCTGAAATGTGTGTGTGTGTGTGTGTATACATATATGTTGCAGTCTAAATCAAAATAAATGCATTCTGACCTCGCTACTACTGGGAGAAAAGACATTGGTTATCTCTCTTAGTTGTGGCCCAAAAGGGTATTTCTGAGTGCTTCTCACTTCTATATCCCAACTAAGGCTGCAGGAGCACAAAATGAATTAATGGCCACCATAAAGCAGACTTGGCCTGATACACAGGCCAAAAAAAAATTAAATAAGGCCAGGCGCTGTGGCTCAAGCCTGTAATCCCAGCACTTTGGGAAGCCAAGGTGGGCGGATCACGAGGTCAAGAGATAAGAGACCATGGTGAAACCCCGTCTCTACTAAAAATACAAAAATTAGCAGGGCATGGTGGTGTGCGCCTGTGGTCCCAGCTACTTGGGAGGCTGAGGCAGGAGAATTGCTTTGAACCGGGGAAGTGGAGGTTGCAGTGAGCCAAGATCACGCCACTGCACTCCAGCCTGGTGCCTGGCAACAGAGCAACACTCTGTTTAAAAAAAAAAAAAAAATTAAATAAAGCATTTACTCAGAGATGTCCAGTCATTAATTCAGACAAACCCCTATTTCTTTATTGGGAGAAATTAGAAATTCTACTCACTTTAGAATCAAGAGAATCTGATCAGAGAATCCTTCTCTAAAAAGGACCATGACTCTAACAGTACAGCTTGAAAGGAGGGGAAAAAATACCATCTTCCTGTAGTGACTCATCTTTTCATTCTGCTACTGCTATTTGGCAAAACACGTTAGGAAGCAAAGCTTAATTAGCCTGTCTCAGAAGTCTTCTACTTCTTTCAAAGGGTCAGATCCAGATGATGTTAAGTAAGGGCCCCTGGACACCACTGCATTCTTGGGAAGTATTCCCTACCAAACCCTATTCATTTCCATTATGGAGATTTGTATGAAGAATGAAATTGTCTCTAGTACTCTACTGATGTTCAAATATATTATGTTTAGCTACTTCAAAGATGTCATTTGTTGATCCCCTTTGTATCCTATAACAGAAGTCAAAAACAGCCATATGATTCAGAAAATTTACCCATTTTATTGATGCATTGCAATTGCTCTACATTTTACCATATTATGTAGAAAATACTGAAAATACAAGCTACTTTGTAAAACCAAAGACAAACATTGAATCCAAAGATAAACTATGTTTTACACAATGGACCCTTTTCCCATAGTTAGTATTAAATTTTAAATATCTATTTCTTTTGTTAAAATGATTATTTTACATACTCCCTAAGTACATCTGCATTACAAACATAGCTCAGTAATTCTCAGAAACTATCTGTTTCTAGAGGCTTGTTGTAAAAGAAAGCGCACAACCAAAAAAAAAGGGAGAAAGCAAAAAAGGTTTAAATCGCACACAATAACTAGCATATCAAATACATTTAATAAAGTAGGAATTCCATTGCAGTATCAAGGATTCAAAGCAGAAATACTAACATTACATATAATGTACATAAAATGTACTGCTACATGTAGTGAGATTATTTTTTCAAGCTGAATTGAAACCACACATTATATAAAGTTTAGCAACAAACAACCATGTAGACATGCTGCACCATCTATCAGTTTAAAAAAAAAATCAAAATAGGAAGCAGGCTCGGGCCACTCCTGTCACTGAGAGGCAATTTCATTTCCTATCCTAAAACAAGCCATCTCAACTAGCAAATTTTTCCATAATAATGCTGAATAAAACACACTTTACTGTGCTTGCCTGGCTAAGGGCAGTCAATCTTAGCCCCTCTAGTGGAGGACAATGGATGAGCAATCACAAAAACAGGCTCAGAATGGCCAGACTGTTTGAAATGGAGTTCATATTCCTGGGGTTGCTATTTCAGCTGGGCACTGAAAATGGTATCACCTCCTGGGAGTTATCAAAAACTCTGGAGTGACCAAGTGTCCCTATGAGCCCAGAGTGGCTACATTGAACCCTTCCACCCTTCGTCTCTCACCTGGAAGGGGAGAAGCTCGAAATGCAAGTTCTGAGAGAGGACTTAAAGCCTTAAGCTGGTTTGAGGTCAGGTCACTATGACCCAGACCAGCTGCTCACTAAATTCACCAGGCTTCCCTCCTTCCTGTCAGGGCCAACAATGTTAAGCCCCAGGGACAGAATCTAAAAGCCACGTTGAGCACATACACATTCAGCAGACACAGGTGGATTTTTATGTTGGAAAATCAGAAATGCCAGTTTGCAGACTAAAGACTGAAAAATCTCTAAAGTTTTTAAAGCCACACACTGCTAGTCAGATGATTAAGTTAACAATACAAGCTCCTGGTATTATCTTTTTCTGTGGAGTCTGGACTCCTAAGTGGTATCTGCTTATTGGACTGGGGTGCAGGAATGGGGTTTTGTTTCCTGCGTCTCATTTCTTATAAAAACAACAAATCTTGTCCCTTATAGAAAAAAGATAGGAACAAAAAATTTGTCCTTTAGAAACTAGACCTGTGTTCAAATAATAAAATCAAAATGTGCTTGGCAAAAAGGAGACACAAAGATCACACATGTTGACCAGAAAACTGTATGACACTAGTGACAGAAATTATAAAAACTGCTTGACTATCTTGACCAATACAGTGCTGAAAACACAACTCAATATAATGATTTTTAAAAATAAAGAAAACACAACATGTTCCTGGTAGGCTGTACTGACTACCTGCCCCATCTTGGAAGCCCTTATTCCTTACAATGAAGAAACTCCAAATACTTTGACAGCTCCTCAGTGTTCAGCCTGGTACAGAGCTGGCTGACCGGGCTCCATGAAATCTCCCATCTCCATCCTGCACCTCCTTGACACCATCTCTATCTACATAGAATCAGTCCTAAAATTATCTCTCAAATATATCATTTTCAATTCAGATGGAACACACCTGTATTTTAGGATTAACCTTCTTTCCCCAAATCCTTTATGGGCAGGAATGTCCCCATCCCCAGTACCTTCTACTTGACCCAGATCCATGCAGGAGCTGAGAGTACAAGGACAATTTCACAGCTTGAAGGGCCCCAAAACTATACAAGCTATTAAAAAAGAAACCTCAAAAGCCTCAATGACTCAACAGGCTTTGGTTCCTCCTCCATATTCTCCACCAGCTAAGAAACCTTTCTGTGAGTTCCTTGTCACGAGCGGCGCCACAAAACTCCTCCTCATAGTATGGGGACATGGTAAGCAATACAACAGGCTCTTTGGTATAAACACATCTGTTATATGTTTTTTTCAACAAGCAAATATTTTACTAGGAATGTCAACTATTTGCAGGAAGGACTGCCACATGGGAAAAGGAAAAAAAAAAATCATTCTAAAAGTGATTGCACATACTTTAAAAGAATGCATATTTAATATTGGCTTGACTCCTCTCACCTGCTTCCTGAATTCTCACAGAAGCAAGGTAGCAATGCACAGTGAGAGAGCCACATGGGGAAAATGCTTCTGTGAGAACTCAGCTGAGAATCCAAAATGGAAAGGAGTAGAGGTGGTGGTAAAGGAGAAAAGCTGCTGTTTTTATTTTTCAATGTTGGCAGGGAAACTGAGAACAATGCATTTACACAACACAGCTACTAATCCTGTTCTGATAAATCCCAGTGAACAACTTAGGGTCCACGGGGGCTTGCTGGTCCATCCTAAGGCAAGCTCACTGTAAACTCTATTAACCACTACATTATCATATAAGGCACTACAATAAGGGAAGGAGGGAGAGAGGGAAGGAAGAGACACACACTGAAAAACTCCTCACCAGACACACCTGTGCAAAACAATTCCAAGGGTCTCCTCTCCTTGCAGGCAATGCCCCTGCTCAATCAGCACTACAGTAATATGCTCTAATATAATTGCAATTAGTTCACATACATTCCAACAAGTATCAGTTCATTTTGGTTTAAATACAATGGAGACATCAATCCATCTCCGGGGTAACACTGGAGGATCACATACACACTAAGTACACAATTCAAGTGTAATCACTACACATTTGATTACAAATAACATTTTGGATTAGCAGGAAAAATTGCTTGTTATATTTTTCTAATCAATATGTACATATTTAATCATGTAAAATATTAAAACACCACCATTACAAAACTTCTAAAATATTTTTAAATTCAGTAATAAATTTTTAAAATATTTTTTGCAATTCCTACATGCACTTATTATATAAGTCTTAATAAGAGAGCATTCAGTTTGCTGCTGGCATACAAAGGAAGCTACTTTAAAGTATAAAAGCTATACACAAGAAATGTTCTTATCTGGTTTCAGAATTTTTTAGCTTTCTCCCCAAACAAATCACATAAAACAGAAGGGAGAGATGAGGAAAACACAGAGGTGTATTACTGAAAATTCATACTAATCTTTAGGCAAAGCTCATCAATGCCAGTATCTTAGACAGAGATTTTGCATATAATAAAACCACCACCACCATGTAATAATAACCACCTTAATGGCTTTTTCAATTTAAAAAAAAATTAAGCTGAATCAGAGAGAGAAAGACTTTTTAAAAATAATTTTAAAAATAATTCATGGTGCTTCATTTAAAAAGAATACTTGGTGCTTTCACGTAGGTATGGATTCTCTCACATTAAGTTACCAGCAAATGGTGAGCTGCCTTTTAAACACTACTTTATAACAAACACAGGAGCAACTGAGAGAATCCCAATAGTAACATAGAGTAATACGTAACCAGTTTTGCAAAAATAACAATTGCCCATTAAGTATAATATGACATTACAATAAAACTGAAACTCTGTAAGTTTAAATGTCCAATAAACAGACGAAACTTTGAGGATATGTAAAAATATAGACTTGTGTAAGCTGCTTTTAAAATAAAATAAGCAAGTAAGTCTGAGTTTATGAACAGTAATGATTTTTCTTTTCTTTTTCTTCAGATTTCAAGTCCTTCTATCAGTATTTTTCCTGACCAGCAATCACAATAACACAAAATGAAATAAAGAGGGGCTTCACTTGTTTTTAAAAGCATTTATAGAAATCAAGTCAGAGAGACAAAATGTTTTTCAGAGGGTAACTTCAAAACAATCTCTCTTACTTGGTAACTGCAGAAGATGGGCATCTGAACTCTTCCAAGTACCAAAATTGCTGTCACAAAAATAAAGAATTTAAAAATAGGGCAAACTTTGGGAGACTACAACAATGCAGTCAACACTGAGACAGGTTCCCCCAGAGAAAAACCTTCTGCTTCAGTGGGCCCCTGCAGAACAAGTTGCTGGCTGAGAAGTTTCAAGAGGGTAAAGGAGTATCTCACCATAGCCCATTATTAAGAACTCAGGGCCAGGAGCAGGTAGCCATGACTCCTCCTCCCTCATGCTCACCAACTATAAGTAGGAATACTGGCTGATCTTGGTAGGACTTAGTGGGTATCCAGTGTAAATTGCTGAGCCTCGGGAAGACCCAATGTAGGACTGGGTGGCAAACTGGTGTTGGTACTGAGCAGGGGCCACGCTGGCAGAAGTGAGGAGGCTGGGCCCAACACTGACAGGGACCTGGTGCACCAAAGTGCTAGGGTGAGTAGTATAGGCTGCAGCATGCCTTGAAGAGCCCTGGGGCGAGAAAAGATGAGCAATGGAGCTGGTAGAGCCCAGTGCAGCAGCAGAGGTGGGGGCAGCGTAAGTATACAGATGAGCCTGGCTTGGAAGGTGAGCAGGGGCTGGGGCCAGGTGTGGGTGCCCTGTTGAGTGTAGTGGGCTGCCATGCTGGAAGGTATAGGGAGCTTGGGAGAGTGGGGCCACAAATGCCTGCTGCCTGCGGGGGGCTGGGTTGCTGCTTCTCTCCTGCGAGGTTGGAGCCGCTGATGACTGCTGGTTCTGGAAAAAGAAAGAAGTGAGGAATCTTGAGGTCACTCTGGCTCAGGGCACCAAAGGCCAATTTAAGAGCTCAGGTCCTGATTTGTACTGTTTCCAAACTGGTATAGCACATAAATAATTCTACCAGACTGGCATTGAATGCTGTCAGAAGTCAGCCACCCATCCCTCTGCCTCTTGGCAAGACAGATTCTAACCTAGCTCAGGTAACAGCAGTTTGCTTATCAGTATGACAGGAAGGGGGAGAATCAAGAGATCATAGGGTTCCCCACTCCTGCAAGTTAATAACTGGTGACTCAACTTGCCCTATTCTGGTGTCAGTAAATTTGAATTTTCCTAACCTTTATTTCTTACCATTGCTTTATTTTGTTCTCCTCCTCCAAGTTCTTCATACCCCTCTTGAAATGTGGAGCCTAAAACACATGCACTAACTCAAACTTTGCACTTGCATGTGCTCTCTCTCTCTCACATCCCTTCATATTGACACTTTCTCACTACTGGTGAATATCATAGAAGCACTCGAATTCTAGCTGAGAAAAGAGTGAACACAAATAGAATCAAGTAATCAGAGAAGCAGAAGGGTGGGTTGAAGCACAGGGTGTTTGGAGAGTGGGGAAGTCCCAAACTCCAGCAATAAGCAGGACCTAGAACCTGTTGAATTTTGTGGCCAATGAGCTTTTCACAGTCTCTTAACAAGTAAACAATGTAAGGATAAGCTTATTTATGGCCTGGGAGACAAATAGAATTTGGTTTCAAAGCATATGTCTATCACAGGAATGGTTAAAGCATCCTAGGCTCTTTCTAAATCCCAGACATTTCTCTAACCTTCCAGGATAGACTTAGGGAGGTCTGATGGAAAACCTAGAATGTACATTCCAAACACACTTAGAGTGAATGAAGAGACGTAGCACATGCAGATACAAGCGTAGACCACAGAACACAAAATTGTTTGACACAAAAGGGGCTTCATTTGGCTTTATTCAGCATCCAGCCAGAAGCAGGGTTCTCCAGAAAGTAACAACAGTGCAGGGCCCAAACGGAAGGCAGCAGCCTGTAGTGCTTACCTGGCTAAGGTTAAGTGGCTGTGCTGCACTGGTCCCCCCGCGTTGAGCTCGGTATCCTGTGGGGGTAATACAGCATCCAGATGACTGCCCACTCACTGAAGCCACTGGCTTGGTCTTATTGCTCAGGAGACCTAAGAAAGGGTCAGGCTTAATAGTTTACACCAGAAGAAAATAATCTGTATAACCCATTTCTTTTCTGTCTTGGCACAAATCTCCACACAGGATCTTCAAAATGTTCACGTGAATAAATATTATAAATATAACTACAATCTTTTGTTATATACAAGGAACTACTGTAAACACAAATATGCCAAAACACCATCCCTCTCTCCAAGAGTCTATCGTTTTATGTAGGAAGGGATTAAACAAGCCCAGAAATGATAAAGTGAAGCTGAGAAAGCTATTGGTAATTCTTAGGATATTAATGTGTCAAAAGGGTTTAAAAGAAGGCAAAATTCTATCTTGTTGGGCAGTCTTCAAATTCTAAGAAATTACAGGACAGCTGAATGTGAAATTTTGCTTCCTTCTGTGCTCATTAGGAAAACTGGAGCATTTATTCAGTGTCTCATGTGATAGTCTGTATTCTTGGGACCCAAGAGTGCACAGAGGTCCTAATAATTCTATTCAGTAGCATGGCATCAGGAAGCTCTCTCCCTTGTCTGCAATGGGACAACTGGTTACTTCTAAGAAAAATCACACATGGCACAGCAGGCACGATGAATAAAAAAAGAAAAAAAATTTTAATTAAAAAGAAAAAAAAAAATCACACAGAGGCGTAACACAATATCCTCAAATTATAATCCTGTTTATATCTATGGCAGTAAGATAATTATATAATAAAACATAATTTATACAACTATGGCCCAGCTTTATGTTGACACCTAGACTTCACCATTCTCTTCCTTGGTATGAAGTTGTCACTGAAAAGCAGCTGCCTTGACAAGACTACATTGCCTGGGCTCACTTGCATCTAGGTGGGGCCATGTGAGAAGTATTCACTGCTTCCTCTTATTTCCAAGTTAAGATGTGTGTGCCTCCTTCAAAGTTTCTTTCCCCTTCCAACTGGATGCTCAGGCTTCAAACACTTGTACCAAGAAGCTATATAAGACAGGAGTAAAATTCTACTATGTTATGCTAAAAAAATCTAGGATTTGTTACTGCAGCTACCATTGCCCAACTAACACAGAAACCAAACAAGGGAGCCTAAGTCCAGTATCTAACAGAGCAAAGAAAATGAAGTAATTAAGTTGGTAATAAAACCAAAAAAAGCATCACTGCTATGACACTGGGTGAGAAAAAAAATCTAGAAGATATACTGTTTTCCAAAAACACTTTTATAGTCATTTTCAATATTATCAAGTCCTGTCCACATCTCAATTGCCAAATTCAAATCATCTATGGCAAACCTAATTGCCTGCTAATTCTTCTTGCAATATCACACATCTTGTCCACTTTCTCCCATCAGCATTGAATGTTTTGCTGAGACTACAATCTCATTTTTATATTAATCCAAGCAAAATAAACATAGGAAGATGAAGTGATGGCCAAAAATAAGTTCGCATTCCAGGAAACTGATTTCTGAATTAAGGACTCTTTAAGAATGTCTATGCCACTGGTCTCTACCACCGACATAAGTGGATTATAGCAAAATATTTAAGCAAACACACATCAAAGGAGAATTCAACTGAAGCTGCGAAATATACTTACCTGAGGCCTGGGTTGCTACAGTGCAGTCACCAAGCTGAGTTTTCAGTGGAGGCACAATGATGGTGCGGGTGCCAGTGCCATCTGCCACAACTCTGCCAGGCCCCTCCAAAAGGGGTCCACTATTGCCTCGGAGAGCATTCAGAGTATCAGTGGAATAAGGGCTGCTCAAAGAAGAGTCAGAGTCTGGAGAATCATTGACAGTGACATAACTGATGACATTAGACCTCGGCTTCAGGCCAGAGCTGAGAAGAAGAAAAATACATGAAAATTAAATTGCTGTGGGGTTTTTTCATATGTAACAGGGTCTTGTTCTGTCACCCAGGCTAAAGTGCAGTGCAGTGATGACAGCTTGCTGTAACCTCAACCTCCTGGGCTCAAGCTATCCTCCCACCTTAGCCTCCCAAGTAGCTGGGACTACAGGCACGTACCACCAAGCCCAACTGTTTTTATTTTTTGTAGTGATGAGGTCTCACTATGTTTCCCAGGCTGGTCTCAAATTTTTGGACTCAAGAATCTTCCCGCTTTGGCTTCTCAAAGGGCTAGAATTACAGGCATGAGCCACCATGCCCGTCTTCAACTGCCCTTTTAAGCAATGTTTCTTAGATGATCCGTCTCTGGTTCTCCCATGATAACAATGATGATAAAGATGGTAATAATAATGATAATCCTAGCAGCAGTAAACTTCTGAGTGCTTATTACATACCAGGCACTACTCTCATGCTCTACATACATCTCACTGAACCCTTACAACAATCCTATGAAGTAGGTACTATTAACTTCATTTTTCAGATGAGGAAACTTAAGAAATAGAGAGATGAGGAACTTGCCCAGGGTCACACAAGAAGTGATGAGTGGGCCGGGCACAGTGGCTCATGCCTGTAATCCCAGCACTTTGGGAGGCCGCGGCGGGTGGATCACGAGGTCAGGAGATCGAGACCATCCTGGTCAACATGGTGAAATCCTGTCTCTACTAAAAATACAAAAAATTAGCTGGGCATGGTGGCGCGTGCCTGTAATCCCAGCTACTCAGGAGGCTGAGGCAGGAGAATTGCCTGAACCCAGGAGGCAGAGGTTGCGGTGAGCCGAGACCGCGCCATTGCACTCCACTCTGGGTAACAAGAGCAAAACTCCGTCTCAAAAAAAAAAAGAAGTGATGAGTGGTGAAGGCAGGATTTAGACCCAGGATGGAATGACCTCAGAGTCCACACCTCTAATACCTCCTGTAATGCTGCCTCTACCATCTTACAATTGGTTCTTTTGCACTAATAGGCTCTAAATTCATTCTTAATTTTACCTTTCAAGTTCATTTAAACTTCATTAACATATGACTCTGTAAAGTCTCGTAAGTTACTTTCATGTGTGAATCCTACCTTCTCAGATAAAAGCAAGAGGTCATCCCCTTTTCTGTATGCCCAACACCAAAAGCCCCATCAGAGGCTATGCTTCCAAAATACCTTTTTTCCTTCAGCCCTTTCTTTCTTTGGAAGGTCGGAGAGGTGGGTAGAGTATTGTTGTGTCACACAGGCTGGAGTGCAGTGGCACACTCTCAGCTCACTGCAACCTCCACCTCCTGGGTTCAAGAGGTTCTCCTGCCTCAGCCTCCTGAGTAGCTAGGATACAGGCATGTGCCACCACACTCAGCTAATTTTTGTATTTTTAGTAGAGATGGGGTTTTGCCATGTTGGCCAGGCTGGTCTCAAACTCCTGACCTCAGGTGATCTGCTGGCCTCGGCCTCCCAAAGTGCAGGGATTACAGGCGTGAGCCACCGCATCCCCCCAGTCCTTTCTTTCGTAGCCAAAACTAGGCCCACTTGCCTGAAGCCAACAGTCTAAGACCAACAGAGACAAGAACCATTCACTTATCTTACCTGCTGGGCTGGTATTTGTTGTCCTCTTCCTCATCCGTGTCACTTCGGATAGTGATGACACTTACAGGAGGGCTAGGAGTATCGGGAATGATGATGGGCTGATGCTGATCTTGGACAGGGACTAAGGAATTATAAGAAGAAGTGGTACGTAGGGGACTGCTCCCAACCAGAGAATAGACTTGGGAAGGCAAAACATCTAGAGAGGACCTGTAGAAAACGTTCACAAGGAAAGGTGATTCAGTCCGTAGCCTTCCAAATTGTACATCTTTTCCCCAGACTGCTTTCCAATTTACTTGTTGATTCCCTTTTAATCATTAAGCAAATACATTTAACTACATAAGTTCCAATGAAAAATAAGCACCACGTTGGCCAGAGTTTCCAGGGACAAGAACACCAAAATACAAAATAAGTTTTACTTGTATAAGCCCTTTATTCCAGGATTAAATTTTACTCTGTAAAGTAAAATAAAAACATCACAAAATGCCCTAGATTCAAAGTGGCAGCAGAGACAGACCATCATAACCAGGACATGCCTGGTGTACAGGCCCAGATGAAATGATTCGCTCTTCCTCAATTTGCAGCTACTTGCTGCTTCGTATCAAAAGTATCTATACAATATTCCAAATAGCAGGCAGTGTATCGTTCAGACTGGCTCAGTTTTAACTATCAGCTGTAACACAGACTTACTTGGAAGAGACTGGAGCTGACTGCTTATTCTTCTTCGAAGGAAGGGAACTGGATTGTTGTTGTCTGACAACATGGGCAACACCAACATTCAAAGGCTGAGCAGTAGCCAATGTCACATGGTTAGTCAGCAAGGATGGCTGCTGCATAATAGTGCTGTACTGGTTGCCATGAGAGTGGGCATTCCTGTACCAATAGAAAGAAAGAAAGAAGAGTGAATTCCAAAACCACTGAAGAATCAGGACCAAAAATACATCAAAAGCATCAAAAGCAATTACACAAAATGCAGCTGCATTTTATTTTTTTAAAGTTGAACACCTACCATCTGATAAGGGATTAATAACCAGAATATATAAAAGGCACAAACAACTCTATAGAAAAAAAATCTACTAATACAATCAAAAAATGGGCAAAAGATTTGAAAAGGCATTTTTTAAAAGATGACTTACAAATGGTTTCACGCCTGTAATCCCAGCACTTTGGGAGGCAGAGGTACGCAGATTACTTGAGGTCAGGAGTTTGAGACCAGCCTGACCAATGGGGAGAAACCCTGTCTCTACAAAAATACAAAATTAGCCGGGTGTGGTGGCACATGCCTGTAATCCCAGCTACTCGGGAGGCTGAGCCAGGAGAATCGCCTGAACCTGGGAGGTGGAGGTTGGGGTGAGCCGAGATTGCGCCATCGCACGGCAGCCTGGGCAACAGAGCGAAACTCCGTCTCAAAAAAAAACAAAACAAAAAAAACAAATGGCAAACAGGCATATGAAAGGTGCTCAACATCTTTGATCATTAGAGAAATGCAGATCAAAACTACAATAAGATATTACCTCACCCCAGTTAAAATGGCTTATATCCAAAAGACAAGCAATAATAAATGCTGCCAAGGATATGGAGAAAAGGGAACAACCGCTGGTAGGAATGTAAGTTAGTACAGCTACTATGGAGAACAGTTTGGAGGTTCCTTAAAAATCCAAAAATTAAGCCACCATATGATCCAGCAATCCCACTCCTGGGTATATACCCAAAAGAAAGAAAATCAGTGTATCAAAGATATATCTGCACTCCTATGTTTATTGTAGCACTGTTCACAATAAGATTTGGAAGCAACCTACATGTCCATCAACAGATGAATGGATAAAAAAAAAACGTGGTTGATAATACACAGTGGAGTACTATTCGGCCACAGAAAGAATGAGATTCTGTCATTTGCAACAACACGGATAGAACTCAAGATGATTATGTTAAGTGAAATAAGCCAGACACAGAAAGACAAACAGCATTATTCTCACTTCTTTGTGGGATCTAAAACTTAAAACAATTGAACTCATGGACATAGTAAAATGGTTACCAGAGGCTGGGAAGAGTAGTGGACGGCTAGTGGGGAGGCAGGGATGGTTAACAGGTACCAAAAAATAAAATAAAAAAGAATAAGACCTATTATTAATAGCACAATAGGGTGACTATAGTCAGTAATAACTTAATTGCACATTTTAAAATAACTTAAAGAGTATAACTGGATTGTCTGTAACTCAAAGAATAAATGCTCAAGATGAACCACCCATTCTCCATGATGCCCTTATTTCACATTGCATGCCTGTGTCAGAACATCTGAGGCACCCCCTATATATATATACACACACACACATGTACACACATACACATACACACACACCTACTATGTAATCACAAAAATTAAAAATTAAAAAAGAATCTTCATTATAAAAAATAAAGTTGGGGACCTAGATTACTAGGCTTTAGGATCTCACTATATGGTTTCTAATCACTTAAGACTCTCTTTAAATCTGGAAGAAATGATTCCTGACCTTAAGAACCTACTGTTTTCCTATATTCAAAGTTTTCTTATAAGACCATCTTCCTAGCCTGATATAGGTTCTTAAAGGCTTCCAACAGAGTCAAATTTTCCTTTGTCTCTCTCCTTATTATCAAGTGCTTCCACCCTATGGGATCGTCCCTTAGAAATCTCCCAGAGTAACATAGGGCACTTGCCTCCAGTCAGCTAGCTGCTGGCCACTCCCCATAGCCTCTGGAATCATTGCTGTGGGCTGGACAGAGTTGTGTAGAGCTACCCCAGGCAACTGTTGCCAAGTTGAAGGCAGGAGAATTTGCTGAGTCCCTCCAGGCCACGCCTGCTGTAAGGAAACACACACAAAAAACATCCAAACTTGACTCATTCTTGGCTTTTTCTTTTTTTTTAAAGAAAGAAAAATTCATATTTTAAAAGAAGTTGCTTGTAGATTGTTAACTTGCAGAGATTAAAAAAGGAAGGTCAGAGATGCTCAAAGCTACAAGTCTTATGGAATGGGGAAAGAAAACATACTGCTTTCTCTTGCCCACCCCCATAATCTGACCACCCAGGTATTAAAGAAAAGAAGATCCCCGCAGTTAAGAACTTCTATTATACTGTAGAGAAAAGGAGTCTGAGAGTTTAGAGATAAGCACTGGTTAAATACTGAAGTTTCATTTGTGCAACAATTCTAAAATATACCCCTAGAAAAGAGTTAATAGGACTCCTTAAGATTAAAATTTTTTCATCTGACTGCCAATCAGATATTAGATCCACACAGCTCATAAAACAAAGGGCAGAGCTGTTCCCTTTTTTAAAAGGGTAGTAATTGGAAAATGGAGTCAGATGTGGATGACCAAAGGCCTAATCCTTTTGGGGGGAAAAAAAATCTATGTCAGCAAGACAAAGCTAACTTCATCATTTATAGCCACAAAATGGAATTGTAAAATAAGGCAAAAAGATGTTTATGAAATAGATGCAGACAGCAACATACTTTATTTCTAATAGTTACCTAAAATATGTTTTTATGTATCATTTGCAGGAATATTTTCACATAAAAACTAATCACTACAAGAAAATAAATGATTTCTAGTTTTTAAAAAGCCATGTCACTTGCAATAAACTGAGCAACAAATGTTTTCCATACTTCCTCACAGAAATTCTGGCATTTTTTGGGGAAAAAAAAAAATGGGAACAGATTTGGAAGTTTCCTTTTTAAACTTGAATTTTGCAGTACGATTACCTACAATGCTTGGGTACATATGGTTCTGTTTCTTGAATTTCAAATTCTAAGACCATCAACACACTGTTTTAAAAATATTTCTGCAAGTAACAGATCCACTTGTTACAAATACCGGTTCCAAACAAGAAGCCTTCAAAGCAGAGAAACTGCAAACACGTCTGCTACCATAAGCAAAATTTAAAACACAACACAACAAAACAAAACAAAACAAAAAATAAGAGAAGTATGTTAAGTCACACCATGCGTCTTTCCATAGCCAACACCTGCACAAGACAAAGCATGTAGTTTAATACAAAGCAAGAAATAACATTCCAATGTGAGGCAGTAATCTGGCGTTCCAAGCGACGAACTGTTTTGACAGAAGAAGAACAAAAATATGCAAAGCTTAGCAAATGGCTAGTGCAAACTTAAGAGAAGCAGCAAAGGAGAATTGTCAACTAACATTCCAACCTTGAAACTACAGATGAGTGAGTTAAAACCAGTGGCTTGGATCAATCAAGTTGGAAATATATCTGACTCCCTCACACTCAGGTTTTATGCTTACAAGAAAATTAATCTGGAAGTGACAAAGACTTGTAAACTGAAAACCAAATTCCAACCAAAGTATGTTTCTGGAAGTGTTTTCACTCACATGAATAGTTAATGAAAGAAATTTAAAGCTACTTTGAAAACTGAGAAATAACAGGATTCAACAGTGCCTTTCAGGTTTTTGGATGCTTACCTAATTTTAAATTTCAAATGATGAAATACTGGATACCCAGTCAACAACTAACTCCCCCATATAACCAAAACACATCCAAAAAATCACTCTTAAGGTTACAGATTCTGAAATACATCTCAAAGTTTTGTTTGTTTTTTCTATCTCTAAGCCCATTTTAATAAGAAATATATTGTATTTGCATAGTTTGTTGGTCATATTTTCATCCTTTGTATAAAGACCTATTTGTAAAATAATTCATCCCTCCCAAAACTCCTAAAAATATGTTCACTTTTAATTTTAACCAACAGTATGACCTACAATATGATCTACATTCTAAAGGGAATATCTTTAAATGTAAGATAAAAGCTGCCATTGATCATGAGTGGCAAAAAGAGCTATCTTCATGTGTCTATAGAAGGATAGTTAACATCAACTGATAAAGCAATAAATTAAGAGTATCTTAAGCATTTCCACATGCTAAAAGTTTTAGAACTTTAAAATAGCAAAAAATGAGAAAGCTATCTTGCCAAGGAGTTCAATTTTGGCCATCCAGGTACCTGTAGCTGAGCCAAATTAAAGGCCATTTCCTTCATTCTCAAGGATCACAGGGTAAAAGATAAGGTAGAACACAAGTAACAGTGTTGAAGCTCTTCTGAGGCTACAAAGAGAGCTTTTATCACACTAGCCTGGCAAAGAAGAATGAAGGGATCTGGCTCTTTACGGAGCCACACAACCATCAGAGTCAGACAGTGCTTCAGCAAATGTTGGGAAGGAAAACAATGAGACATTAAAAGATGCAGCAAAAACACAGCCACAAGATGGCACATGCTTCCATGCCCTCTGCAAAGACTAAGCTAAAAGATTTTTTTGAAAATAAACCAGAAGAAAACAGAACAAAACAAACAGGAAAAAAACAAAAAAGAAAGAAACCAAAGAAACTCCGTTAGTAACACAATCAAGTGAGGGGAATTACCAGTACAGCGGCAGTCTGTTCAACCAGCGCCGGCCGGCCGGCTGCGCAGCTCAGAGTAAAGGGCACCGCATACTGCGGTGTGATGGTGGCTACTTGAGGGTGGAGAGTTGCTACCATTAGTGGTGTACAGCTTCCCTGAAACGTAGATTAGGCAGGTGAGTGAAACAAACACGGAGGCAGGATATCTGGATTCAGAAGGGTTCTCATTCCCCCCAAAGTTATTACTGACAATAAACAATAATTTGATAGCACCTAAAATGCATATACCAAACACAACCTTCCCCCTTCAACTTTGTACAGCATTGGCCCACAAAGTCAAATGCCAATACCCTAAAGCAAAGAAGTATGGGAATCTTCCTTGGACTAGATTCAGGGCATCAGTTCTATGAAACAAAGATATTTATTAGGAATTTTTCCTCCTGTTCACAAAATAGTGTTTTTGGATTTGAGAATTTCTTATGTGTCACAGGACACAAACATTTACATATAAAATATAAAATACACTGTGTGTTGCTATTTAAATACTTCACAATTTTCTCTATCATCTTAGTTGAACGTTCTGTAGCAAGTATAAAGGTTTAAAGCTTTCTACAGTCTGGTTAAACACAAGGAATGAAGGAATGCAATACGTGAAGAGGCATCCTGATGTGATCCAGCCTCTCAACTGTGGTGAAATTCTAAGAGTGAGCAAAAGGGACACAAAAGGTGCAAAAGTAGAACCTTATATTTTAGAATCAAAATGCTGCATACTTATCTTTATAGAGCTCCAAGATTTAAAAAACAAACAAACAAAAAAAGAAACACTTCATCCCACAGAATTAGAGTAAACTTACTCAGAAGACCATTTCTCAAGAATGCCTGGATATTTATCCCTGTAAGTCTAAGGAAGACAATGGCAGAGTTGCAATAGTGTTAGGAATAAGTATATTGTTCCATAGAGATGTTTCATTTTAAGTCCACTGAATCATGACCAAGAAATATCTTAGAGTCAAAGGAAATACCATTTTCTAGGACGAAATATCTGAATCTCAATAGCGTTGCGGCAATATTGAGTATCCACATTGCTCTAGCTTTTACCTGTGTAAGAACTCCTGACTGAATCTGTAATGGCTGAGCAGCTGGTGCCTGGGGTACAATTGGTACAGCATTATCCATCCTCACAGGGAATCCAGAATGTTTTGTTGTTGCTTGTAGTCCAGCTGTTGAAAACAGTATCACAGTTAAATAGTTCTGCCAGGTCTGGGAAAACTGTTTGTTTTAGATTATTTTTGTTTTTAGCTTTTTTGTTCAAATAATCCACTATTCAGGTTTCATCCCAGACACTTAAGACAAAGAAGTTGCATTCGTAGAAGTCTTGGAAGTTAAGAAAAGGGAGACTGTTCCCTTCAGATTAGATTAATGGAAAGATGTTTGATACAGTGAGGGTTGGCTTAAGAGAATTCTAAATTTTTTTTATGCTACAAAATTTAAAACACAATATCCATCCCATCCCCATTAACAGTACAGGCAAAAACAAACAAAAAACCTTCACTTAGTAAATTACATTCATTTTTTTTTTTTTTTTTGGGTCAGAGTCTCACTCTGTCACCCAGGCTGGAGTGCAGTGGTGCCATCTTGGCTTACTGTAACCTCCACCTCCTGGGTTCAAGCAATTCTTCCACCTCAGTCTCCCAAGTAGCTAGAACTACAGCTACCCCGCCCAGATAGTTTTTGTATTTTTAGTAGAGATGGGGTTGCATCATATTGGCCAGGGTGGTCTCAAACTCCTGACCTCATGATCTACCCACCTCGGCCTCCCAAAGTGCTAGGATTACAAGCATGAGCCAGCACGCCCAGCAATGTAATTCACTTTTTAATCCACTCGGGAAAAAAAATATATATATATATGTATATATATATATATATATACATATATATATATAGTTTTTAAAAATCTAATCTTTAAAAGCAAAGGCTTAAATATAACTTTTAGTGAATTAAGATAAAAGATTATGAAAAGCTCAATAATTTATAATCTAAGTTACCTTTTTATTTAGAGTGTTTTCCCCACACCTCAAGAAATATAACCTAGTTCACAAATCAGTCGTATATTTTATTCTTAACCATGCATGAACTGAAAAAAATCATGCCTAGGATAAAAGTATTTTAAAAGCAGACATTCTGGTTTACAGAAACTTTATCCTACTTATTTTAGAAATCAACTCTTGTCATTGACATCTAATTGGGCTCTTTTGTAGTTAATGGACAGCTAGGAATATCAATAACGCTTCTTTGTAACAGTGTCTTTATAGCAATGACCATGTCTTCTTTATCTTTTTATTCATTATGCTCATAGAACAAATGTTTAATAAATCTTTCCTACAAACAGATCTCATTCTGGGGAAAAGCACAACTAAATACAGTTCTTTTTGCCAAGACTTGAGAGCCTTCAGTTTCTTCTGCACTTACTCTATCAAAATTTGCAACATAAAGAATTTAAGTTTCTATTATACTTCCAATTCACTAATGTCTGCAATTTTGTTAAGTGAGGATACGAAAATTTTAATTAGAAGACTTCTTCAGTGACATTTTCTCAACTATCACCAACTAATTTTTCTTAATATTACTATGAAGGTGTCAAAGGAGCTTAACTCATAGACCACAATACAGCTGATTTCAGCACGAATCATCAGTCTTCTAATTTTCCACTTCACTAACTTATGAGTAACTTAATTACAAGTTGTCATGAAGAAAAATACAATCCAGCAATGTACAAAATAAGAGGGCATAGTAAAGTCAGAATTAAAACACTAACAATATCTTTTTAAAATTTCTACTTACATAAAAATAATAAGTAACAAATTCATGTATCAAAATTAAAAAGTTGCCTGCCATACTTCCTTAGGCAATGTTATCTAATAAGAAAGCTAAGCCACACAAAATTCTTGCCTATAGTAGGACAAGGACACATTCCTAACTACAAGACATTGGTACTGTATAAAAATTTTACAAATTGGTAAAATTTAGGAGGAAATGTTCATGACAGAAGCTCATGTATGGTTCCCAAAGCAATAAAGCAAAAGGTGACAAAATTACAGAACAATAGTTACCACTGAGCAAAATGTGTATCTATTTTGGTCAACCAGGATAGTATGGAAAGTAGTATGTATAGTACCGGCCTACAAATGTGACTCTAATGTATTAGATTGCTACTGTGTTTTAGCCCGAAAATGGAAACTAAGCATTAACAAAAGGCAATACTATTGGAAGGCTCTCCCTGGCTTCTGAACTAAAAAGGATTATACTTTCATTTTTTGTTGTTATTTGTGTTTTATTTAACATAGTTCTTTAAATAAAGAACCATGGAAGTAAGAAAATAATAAATTGCCTAGCTGATGAGGTTCTATCCTCCTCTAAGTATAGGCATCCTGTAAAAGAACAGATGGTCCACGGAAAGTGGGCAACCTGGAACAGAACACTGCTGGGCAGAAATGAGCAACTAGCGGTGGCTGGCAACTAAGAGGCAATAAGAAATAATACTTCAAAATACAGAAGCTGTGAATTCCACTGCCTGGGTTCAAATCATGGTTCTGCAATAATTAGTTACACGACTTTGGGCATATGAAGGAATCATGCTCAAAATTCTCATCTATAAATTCAGGGAAATGGCATTACTCACTTCCTAGAATTGTTAGTGAATATGAATTAACATATGTAAAAGCACTTAGAATATTATCTGGCATATGGTAATACATATCAGGCACCCTCATCATCACCTTAATTTTAAAACTCCTTTTTCATTTGGAAAATTTTAAATATGCTCTACTAGCTCCTCAGGTTATTTACACCTCCTAGATAGGGAAAAAAAATTCCAAAGTTTATATTACTAAAAAGGGTTATCCCACTTTTCCACTTTAACTTCCTTAGTTTATATTTTGTTTTGTTAAAGTAACTCAAAAGTTCCTCTGCTTCATCTCTTAAGTATCATCTGAGAAGAAGCAGAAGACTTCAGGGTCCACATCTGAAAATTGTTCCAATGAAACTCTTTGGAAAAAGTGGTTGAAAGGAGCGGCTAATCTGCTAAGCTGAGTAGAAGAATCACTCAACATACGACAACCCCAAGTACAGAATTTACTATTATGAAGCAAACGCAGAAAATAATTTGGTAAGTGAGGCTAAATGTGCATTTACGGATTTCGAATCTGTTCCTCCACTCTCCCTGTGGTTTCTCCCCGGTTTACATCGCTATCGTTCTCCTGTCCTCCTGGTAATCTGTCAGACTCCCCTAGCCCCTCTTTTCCTTCTGCTTGCTCCGATTCTGTCAGAAACCAAACAAACAAGACAGTCACAGTCAATAAGTAACTGATGTAAAAATGCTACCTGCTTCTATGTAAAGTGTTATATGAAACACCTGAATCCTGGTTTATTCTCACAGGGTACTGACACTCACCTTCTCTTGGGAAAGTCAAATGTGTCATCAGATTTTAGCCTTAAAGCAGTATTTTTCTAAATGGCTTACCAAATGATTAAACGCACATTTCCCATATTTCAGAAAAAAGAAACTGGACCGACTAGATTACAGAACAACAATACGAAAATAAGAAGGATGGGAATGTGAAAACTAAAATCTTATTGCAACACAGGGACTCAGCCTCCTCCTTCAGCTATTCTGTTCCTCTGTTGACAGGAGTTTGCAGGAACTATATGATTCATAAGCTGAAGCAGATAATCCTAATGCTTTCCCCAGACAAGCACCTCAGCCTATAGAATTTTTTAGTTCAATAATGATTTTTCTTAAGCATTTTAAGACATTTCCACATTCTTAAACATGATTTTTACATTTTAGAATAAAATCATTTTTTATTGGGAACATAATTTCATTTTAATAGAATGATATGGGAAATAAGATCCAATATTTAGCAATTCTGCTTATAACAAATTTTTTCAAGTTGTATAGATTCTGTATATTGACAGATACATGCTTATATAAGATACATGACATTGACACAAAGACTCAATGGGCAAGAAAACTAGTATCAGGCAATTCAATTAAGGAAACATAAAGTGAGCTCTTATAATGCATCAGACAGCATTATAATTAGATAAATATCCAATGTAAAAAGGGAAAATCCACCTGATATCACCCAATTTTAGTTACCTTCATCAACAGAGACAAGACTTTAAACTTGTCAAAGATCAGAACTAAACAACTAGAGCTGCCTAAAGCAGGTAGGTCTGATACAATACCATATGATACAGGCATTTCCCCACTTACTTTGAAACGCAGGTGGACACACTATAAATGTCTGTTGGAATGGATCTGTCTGAGTACAAATCTGGGTGGTTCCAGGCTGCAAGGAAACACCCTGCTGGGCAACTCCAGGAACTGGTGCAGCAGATGATGGGTACAAAGCTGACTGGTAGTTTAGCAGTGAGACATCTGAATTAGCCAGAGAAAGAGTAGCAGCGGCCGCAGTAGAACTGGAAGCTAGAACACTGGCCTAAAAATAAAAGGATTATATTTGTACACTGGTATTAAGTAGAGACACAATAATTTTACATATACAAAATTTATCTAGAAAAATACAGAATAATATTTTTAAAAGTAATGTTAACTGCCTTTGAAATAACTCTCTGCTTAAGAAACTTGCCCAGTCCCTAAATCGAAGGCATATTATAAGGTAAAATAAGCAAATAAAGAATAATTAATGGTCCTATGCTGGCTGTGGCTATATAAACCCCAACTACTTCTGCACAAAAAATTGCTGGATGGAAGATCCCACCAAATCTCATCCGCTCTTCTATTTAAAAAGTAGACCTAGCTAAGAAATTGGGAAGTTTACAACTTCAGAAACAAACCTAAATGCAAATATCACTGGCTAGCAAACAAATGCAAAACTACCCTTAAAGTTAATGACTGGAAAACTTTCAGTATAGTAACAAGAGATATAAAATCCTTCTGCTAACAGGGAGAAAGTCATTTGGCTAAAGTTAGTACAACTAACAGGACTAAGTAGTATATCAGTCAGACCCCATTTATTTGACAATGCTGAATATATGAGGGCATGGATTAGGCCTTTATATTTAACTTTTTTAGCCTGTGTCTGGTAGGTATTATCAGTCTAACCTGTTTTCCATCAACTTTTGCCAAGTAGAAAAAAATTTTTTTTTTTTTTTTGAGATGGAGTTTCGCTCTTGTTACCCAGGCTGGAGTGCAATGGCGCAATCTCGGCTCACCGCAACCTCCGCCTCCTGGGTTCAGGCAATTCTCCTGCCTCAGCCTCCTGAGTAGCTTGGCTTACAGGCACGTGCCACCATGCCCAGCTAATTTTTTCTATTTTTAGTAGAGACGGGGTTTCACTGTGTTGACCAGGATGGTCTCGATCTCCTGACCTTGTGATCCACCCGCCTCAGCCTCCCAAAGTGCTGGGATTACAGGCTTGAGCCACCGAGCCTGGTTTAGAAAATTTTTAAGAAGCAACAAGACCACCAAAACAAAAATTGGTTCTTTACCTTATCCTGTATTCTTACTAGGTCCTATCCCACTTAAGCCTGAGTTTCCAAAATTATTTACTCAATACCTGATTGTGCACTGTATTGAGCTGATTGCTGAAGCTCATGGTTAGATTTGTGCTTGTATTTGGAGCAACATGTGTAGTGAAGGGACTCTTGATCTGACTCACTGTATCATACATGTGAACCCTCCGCTTGCAGATCTCCATGTTCTGAAAACAAGACTTAACACTGAAAAAGAGATTAAAGATTCACTAAATTAATGCTGAGATTTAAACAGACAGCAAATTACTCAAGATGAACACAGATCAGTTTTTTTTCCCAATCACTTTCAGATAAAGTCAAGAATTTTTATAATCATAAGAATGAAGAAAATCACAAAAATGAAGAAAAATACACATCTGATTTCTATCTTACGATGTTTCAACGAGAAAGAAAAGCACTGCTGAGCCAGATTTGTAAGTACTGAAGTGGCTGGCTCACTTAACAGTGTCATTGATAAGGCAGTAACTCAACAAAAAACCACATGGCAAAGCCTCAGAATATTCCATACTCACTGATTGCTATGTGGAAAATCCAAAAGGTGAGTCATTGTCACAAACTGGTGATTAAGAGTTTTTAGAGGGGTAACTCTCTTATCTGCATCAATTGTGAGCATTTTTTTTAACAGATCAATGTATTCTCTTCGGTCTGCCTTCTCTGCCAACATGTCTGTTCCCTCTAAGTCTGTAGACATATTCACCTTCCAAAGAAAATTTAGAAATATTATACTTCTTCACTCAACCTTTAGTACTGACACTACATACCTGCTTTCTCTCCAAACTAGACACACACACACACACGCGCGCACGCGCTTTCTCTCCAAACTATATATATATGCTTTCTCTCCCAAACTATGTATTACTTTATATATATTATCATTACAGTATATATGTAATGATCATATATGATATATTACATAATGATCATATATATATAACATGATATATATATATTACACACACATACACGTGTGTGTGTGTGTGTGTGTGTAATGATCAAAAGAGAAACCTGGGGAAATTCTTTTTACGACAGTGTAATCATTTTCACAGGAGGAAGCTCTTTTTATTCTGCTTAAAGTCTTAATCTAAATTCAATGGTAGAAGAACGCTAAACAATTTCTTATCATTAAAAATTTGGGGGCTGGGCACAGTGGCTCATGCCTGTAATCCCAGCACTTTGGGAGACTGAGGCAGGTGGATCACCTGAGGTCAGGAGTTCAAGACCCAGCCTGGCCAACACAGAGAAACCTCATCTTTACTAAAAAAATACAAAATTTAGCCAAGCATGGTGGCACATGCCCATAATCCCAGCTACTTGGGAGGCTGAGGCAGGAGAATCACTTGAACCCAGGAGGCAGAGGTTGCAGTGAGCCAAGATCATGCCACTGCACTCCAGCCTGGGCAACAGAGTCTGAGACTCTATCTCAAAAAACAAAAAAAAAGTGGAACAAATTAAGCAATAGTGATTGTTACTACCTAAATATAAGTTTCTATAGTTGAAAAGATTAAACGACGTAAGTATAAAGTGTTCAGAGTTTGTAACATAAAATGGCTCATAAGTATTTAACAGAGAAAATGGAACAAGAAACTTTCATAAGTAATATTTTAAATCACTGTTATGTAACAAGACCAGGTAAGTAAAGCAAGAGAGAAATATATGATTCTAAAAATATACTTTGTTAGAATTTAAATGTTCTTTTAAATACATGACAGATTAACACTTTTTTTATAAAAACAAAACAAATACTAGAAAAATAACATTAAATTTGTCTTTTGTATAATCAAAGAAGCATGTCTCTGATTGAAAAATACATAAATGTCTGACTTTCTGAAACTTCCATACTCACCTGAGCCATGTCATCTAAGCAATTAAAAATGTACTTCCGAGCTTCTTTTGATTTTATTCCAGTCTCCAGTTCATGTTCTTCAGGTGTCTATAAAATAAAGATTTTTTTAAAATTCCATCTGTATGTTATTTTCACATTTTATCCAAAATTAAAGCGAGAATACAAGAGACAAATGTCATCACCTTGCCAACTATAGATGGTACACATGAAAGTAATTCACAACCACAAAATCTTCCAGTGGAGAGATGTGACCTTGATATAGCCACCGTTTCAACAGTGATAAAATAAATATGCAACCAATGTTACAGCATAGTACCTGAAGAATGTCAGGTAACAAGGGACATTACCATTGACCTCTTAAAGCTACTTTGAAATGAACTGCTATCTCAAATGCTAACTGTTCAACAGGCTCGGAGGCACAGTCATGGGATAAGTCAAATTACTCAGATACTTCTGAAGCGGAGAGTAAGCTCCGAAGCAAAAAGCAGATATTTGTTTCAAGAAAAAACAGAGAAGGCCTGAATGTGGGCAGTTAGAAAATTACATGATTTTTTATCATGTTTATTGAGAATTCTCTAAAAATCAGTCTTTACTAAATACCTCTAGTTCTTCTATCACTTAATGGTGAGCACTACTCTCCAATCTTCCTATCAGCTGCGAATTGAACATATACAAAATAACCTCAACCAACTGAACTAGCACTCAATGTTTTGTTTTTCAACTATGGATAAGACCAAACAGGTACGATGAAATAATTTTTCACAATGTTTCCCCATCTCCTTTCCCTCTTCTACCTGAAGAATTTAATAACGAAACTTCGAATTCAAAGTTGGGGTGGTGAGGGGTATAGTACAGGAATGTGAAGCATAGCAGGGAAGACAGACCTTAAGCCTCCACAGTGGATACCCCAAATTAGGATCTCTGTTGAAAAACCTTGTTGTTTTTGTTCCGGCACTGAGAAGATATTCAGCTGGCAAGCCTTGTGTTTGTGAAATATAACGAATCTGAAATATCGAAACCATCAAATATCAGTCTGGAGTGAAAAGGGAAATTATTAAAGACTTTTACAATAAAACACTATTAATTTTAGCCAAAGGAAGAAATCAATTCTTTAACCAATACAACTGAAATTTCTCTGTAAATACCTATATATACTAACTCATCCACAGCTACTGTATCTATTATTTACAAGGAAACCCAGTTTTGACAATTTTGGCTATGAACTTTTCTGCTTTTCCTGTTGACTTCCAATACTTCAAATCTGTGGAATCTACTACAACTCAGATGATTTCCTGTTTAAAATCCTATTAACTGGAAACCAAAATACCATTCAGACATTGTAAATGTATTACAATGTCTGAATGGTATTTTGGTTTCCAGATAATAGGATTTAAAGTATATTTACGGACATGTAAAGATATTTGACAATATAGGCCAGGCATGGTGGCTCACACCTGTAATCCTAGCACTTTGGGAGGCCAAGGCGGGAAGACAGATTGAGCCCGGGAATTTGAGACCAGCCTAGGCTGATACAACAATATCTCTGTCTCTACTAAAAATGAAAAAATTAGCCAGGCAAGGTGGCATGCACCTGTACTGGGAGGCTGAGGTGGGAGGATTGCTTAAGCCCAGGAGCTGAAGGCTACAGTAAGCTATGAACACATACCTACACTCCAGCCTGGGTGAGTAAGCAAGATTCTGTCTCTAAAAGAATAAAAGTTAAAAACAAAAAAAACCTTTTGTTCTTACTGTATACCAGATACAGTGTTAGGGGCTGAGGATACACTGGTGATACGAAACAATCTCTACCCTCAAGGAACTTACATCATAGAGAGTAGAAACATTTTTTTTAAATAACAAGAAGGCCAGGCACAGTGCTTCATGCCTATAATCCCAGCACTTTCGGAGGCCAAGGCAGGCAGATCACCTGAAGTCAGGAGTTTGAGACCAGCCTGGCCAACATGGTAAAACCCCATCTCTACTAAAAATACAAAACTTAGCCAGGCTTGGTGGCGAGCATCTGTAATCCCAGCTACTCAGGAGGCCAAGGTAGGAGAATCACTTGAACCTGGGAGACGGAGGTTGCAGTAAGCCAAGATCACACCACTGCACTATAGCCTGATCAAGAGTGAGACTCCATTTCAAAAAAATAAAAATAAGAAATAACAAGAAATGAGAATTCATAATTAACTTTCATGGTAAAACATTCTCCCTTTGTGGACCAATTCCTTAGAAAATTATAGCATATCTTCTGAAGTTTTATACTGAGATACATATCACATATTACTACAACTCAGATGATTTCCTTTTTAACTTTTATTTTAAAGACCCAAATATGTCACAGCTTCTGGGACCTAAAGTGTTTCAGTCTGAAGAGAGTACTTCAGTGTATCATGTGTAAAAGGAAATCACAATAGCTCTTCGCGAGTAGAAGTTCACTTTTAAAATTCCAATTCCTCATCCTGACTCTACTTTCCTAACTCACAAAGTACATTAGTTAATGAAAGTTAAGTCTCTAATAAATCATTACAGATCTAGCAAAGTATCAACCTTAAGTAATATAAAATAAAAATTTTTATTATAGAATTGCAAATATACTTTAAGCTAATAAGCAAGAAGAGAAAATTTACTATTCTTTAAAAAGTTTTTGAGTAGTAATTGGACTACCCTTTCTCTAGTATCTAAATACTACACTAGTACTTAGTACTTCTCTTTCTCTAGAATCTATTTCACGAGTAACTACTTGCATTCTATTTCCATCCAAATAAACACTTTTACCTGATCATATTCTGAAGCACCAGGATAAAGAGGCCATCCCAGGAACAGCTCAGCTATCACACAGCCCAATGACCACATATCAATAGCTTCACAAAATGGTAACCCAAGAATAATTTCAGGAGCTCTAGCAAAAACAAAAAATATCAGATTAAAAAAATAAACATTATGAATTGTGTTTGCAGCCGTCACCCTCCAACGCCAGTGCCACCTCTCGCTTGCCAAGCTCCAGCAGAAGGAGAAGGGGGATAAGTAAGGAGGTCTCTATACCATGGCTCATACAAAGCAGACTGTCCGCAAATCTACCCGTGGTAAAGCACCCAGGAAGCAACTGGCTACAAAAGCCGCTCACAAGAGTGCGCCCTCTACTGGAGGGGTGAAGAAACCTCATCGTTACAGGCCTAGTACTGTGGCACTCCGTGAAATTAGACGTTATCAGAAGTTCACTGAACTTCTGATGTGCAAACTTCCCTTCCAGCGTCTGGTGCAAGAAATTGCTCAGGACTTTAAAGCAGATCTGGGCTTCCACAGCGCAGCTATCGGTGCTCTGCTGGAGGCAAGTGAGGCCTATCTGGTGGGCCTTTTTGAAGACACCAACCTTTGTGCTATCCATGCCAAACAATTATGTCAAAAGACATCCAGCCAGCATGCCGCATATATGGAGAGTATGCTTAAGAATCCACTATGATGGGAAACATTTCATTCTCAAAAAAAAAAACTCTTTTTCCTGTTATTGGGAGTTCTGAACGTTAGATCATTTTTTTTCCATGGGGTTAAAAGGTACCTAAGTATATGACTGCGAGTGGAAAAACAGGGGACAGAAACCAGGTATTGGCAGTTTTTTCATTTTCATTTGTGTGTGAATTTTTAATATAAATGTGGAGGCGTAGAGCATTAATGAAAGTTAAAATGTTTCAGTGAACAAGTTTCATCAGTTCAACTTGATAATAATTATAAATAAACCTGTTAAATTTTAAAAATATAAATAAATAAAAATAAACATTATTTGGGAAAATTAAGTACATGACTAAGTCCTATTTTAGTATTAGCTAAAGGAACATTTATTCAATGAAATGGAAAAAAATCTTTGGTATACAATCCATTCATCTGAAACTCAGGGCCAGATGTGTTTTGGAATTCAGAATATTTTGAATTTCAGAAAGGTAATACAGAGCATAAAGTTCCCAGTGGAGTTCAGGGCAGTGCCCTATTATCAAACACATTAATATTTCTGCAACAAAACATGGAGCAGTCATACTAACTTGGCTAAAGACTTCAAATAGCCTTATAATGGTTCAAGTCGAGTCTTGACAATTAAAAGAATTTATACTAAACTTAAAGAAAAATTTTCATTATAAGAGCTTCCTGAATTTTGCAATCACAGATAAGGGAGAATAGATATTTTTCTTTTTATTTCTAGCACCTTTATAATCATTTAAAAAAAAAAAATCAATTAAAAGGCCTGGTTGGCTGGGCACACTGGCTCATGCCTGGAATCCCAACACTTTGGGAAGTCCATGTGAGCAGATCACCTGAGGTCAGGAGTTCAAAACCAGCCTGGCCAACATGGTGAAACCCCGAATCTTCTAGAAATGCAAAAATAGCTGGGCATCATGGTGGGCGCCTGTAATCTCAGCTATTTGGGAGGTTGAGACAAAATAATCGCTTGAATCCTGGAGGGAGAGGTTGCAATGAGCTGAGATCATACCACTACACTCCAGCCTGGGCAAGAGAACAAGACTTTGCCAAAAATAAAAATAAAAAAGGCCTGGTCAATAAATATCCCTTCATGACAGAAAAAAAATAAAAAATGCTTTCTGAAGAGACATGGTGTTGACAGCACACTCTCTAGAGCCAGTCTCTCAGGGTTTGAATCCTAGTTCCATCATTTAATAGCTGCAGGTATATTACTTGAACTCTTTGTGCCTCAGGTTTCATATCTATAAAATGGAGACAGTAAGAGCTCCCACCACATAGAGTTGTGAAGTTTCTTTTTTTTTTTTTTCAGACGGAGTTTCGCTCTTGTTATCCAGGCTGGAGTGCAATGGCGCGATCTCGGCTCACCGCAACCTCCGCCTCCTGGGTTCAAGCAGTTCTCCTGCCTCAGCCTCCTGAGTAGCTGGGATTACAGGCACGTGCCACCATGCCCAGCTAATTTTTTGTATCTTTTAGTAAAGACGGGGTTTCACCATGTTGACCAGGATGGTCTCGATCTCTCGACCTTGTGATCCACCCGCCTCGGCCTCCCAAAGTGCTGGGATTACAGGCTTGAGCCACCGTGCCCTGGCCCAGAGTTGTGAAGTTTAAATAAATAGTGAAAGTGTTTAGACCAGTACATGGCACATGGTAAATGCTAGTGTTAGATATAATAACATTATTATATTACCATTATTTTAAAATTTTGAACTCTCAATGTGATTTTTAGAAATATTCATTTTCATTAATACTCCAAGTGAGAAACATAACCCTAGGGAACCTTAAAGAGATGACTAAGGTAATCCATAAACTCAGACCTTTATATATACAAACGCATCTAAAACAGAATTATTATCTCCATTATAGAAGAAGAAACTGAAAAAAAGAAAGATTTAAGTTAACAGTCTTAACTTAATCACAGGTAAGTGGCAGAGCTAGAATTTGAATTCCTGCTGTCTGGCTCCAGAGTTGAGTATATAACATATTATACTGTTTCTCGATAAGTAAAAGTACATACTCATCTATACAAATTATATTTGACATGGTGGAATATAAGGGCATTTGTCTAATTGTGACTACTTAAGCAATAAGTGGGTTCAAAAAGAAAATGATAATAGGTAACACTAATAATAATAAATGACTACTATGTGCCACGCACTGTTCTAAGATCTTTATAAATGTTGAGTCACTTAATCCTTACAAGAATCCTATCAAAGTATTAGTATATGCCATCAATTCTAAGATGCACATCTTTTTACATTTTAGCACCTCTAAAATTAAGAAGGTTCTTACAAATGATGGTATATTTCAGTTTAATGACAGTGCTTTGGGAAGCCAACATAGGTGGATCACCTGAGGTCAATTCTAAAATTGAAAAGCAACAAAATTTTTAAGTGGTACATAAATACCATTGTATCTTATAATCAATGGCATCTTACATTCTATGTAATGAAAGTATTATCTCCATTTTCAGATGAGGAAAATGGGCACTAAGAGGTTAAGTAACTTGCTCAAGGCTACACAACTACTAAAGGATGGTGCCCTTGGCCTGCACAGTGGCTCCCACCTGTAAACCCACTATTTTGGGAGGCCAAGGCAGGTAGATCACTTGAGGTCAGGAGTTCCAGACCATCCTGATCAACATGATGAAACCCCGTCTCTACTAAAAATACAAAAATTAGCCAGGCATGATGGCTACTCAGGAGGCTGAGGCAGAAGAATCACTTAAACTTGGGAGGCATAAGTTGCAGTTAGCTGAGAACTGTGCCATTGCACTCTAGCCTGGGCAAAAGAGCAACACTCCATATCAAAAAAAAAAAAAAAAAAAAAAAAAGAAGGCCAGAGGTGTGGTGGCTCGCACCTGTAATCCTAGCACGTTGGGAGGCCAAGGTAGGAGGACCACAAGGTCAAGAGTTAGAGAGCAGCCTTGCCAACATGGTGAAATGCCATCTCTACTAAGAATATAAAAATTAGCCAGGCATGGTGGTGCTTGCCTATATTCCCAGCTACTCGGAATGCTGAGGCAGGAAAATCACTTGAACCCAGGAGGCGGAGGTTGCAGTGAGCCAAGACTGCACCTCTGCACTCCAGCCTGGATGACAGAGCAAGATTTCATCTCAGGAAAAAAAAAAAAAAAAAAAAAAAAAAAAAGCGGGAGGGAGTGGGGAGATTGGGAAGGGAAAACATTAGGAGAAATACCTAATGTAGGTGACAGGGGGATGGAGGCAGCAAACCACCATGGCACATGTATACCTAAGTAACAATCCTGCAAGACCTGCACATGCACCCCAGAACTTAAAGTATAATAATAATACTTTTTAAAAAAGGATGGTACCCAAGCTATTTGGATCCAAGATCTCAGCTCTCAGGTATCTGATCATCTTCTCCAAATAGTTTCCTTTCCTTCTTACAAATCATGGAATTGCAATCTATAAGGACACTCTAGATCCAGATCCAGATTCAGATTTTTCACGTAACAGGAGTAAATGGAAAACAGATCTCTCCATGAAGAACCATCTAACTGGCCATGTTTCCATGCAGAATACCTAGGTTTCTCAAATTTTCAAGTGATATGTGCTTTATTGTTGCTTTGTGTACATGTCCAGGGGGTTGAAGGAAGGCAAGGATTAAGCAAGGAGAATTTAAAGTAATTTCTTCAAATAACAATATCCCTCCCCAACTAAACAAACTAGGTATAGAAAGAAAAAAAAAATCCTCCGCAAGTATTTATACATAAATAGTAGCCTTTAGAAAACAGTACATCTGGGGACTCCACAGGGCCTGAAAGCTTCTCTGATCCTTAAATAGAAATAGCAGTCGGCCCAGGCCTCTTCAGGCTTACACTTTTATGTGTAGAACCACCAATATCATCAGTTTTTCGTAGTATTTGATTTGAACTGTAGTTTTGTTTATCAAAGAAATAACCCTCAAAAGTGTTATTTCTGTTGCAAGTGGCTAGAGGCACATATTACTAACGGAATTTCAGAGTTCAACGAAATCCCAACCATAATGGCATGTTTTTAACACTGCACAATTTGACAGGCACATTAATAAACTAGTAAGAATACCCAGAAACAACATAAAAGCTTTTCTAAAATTGAAAAGGAACAAAATTTTCTACTCCTTGTGAGCGGAATCATTAATTTCCAAGTTCATGACAGTGCCAAAAATAGCTGGCAGGGGGAGCACAACTGGATATGCGCCAAAATAAAAACTGGGTTTAGAACATTCTGAAGTATCAATTGGAGGGCAGCATATTGACTTTGCCATTCCTACCATACTAGAAAGACATTTTAAAGTCCAAAAGGTAGGTCAGAGAGAATGGCCAGACCACTCAATAACTTCCGTTTTAAAAGGACGCAATAATAGGCTGGATGGCGTGACTCACACTGTAATCCTAGCACTTCGCGAGGCCGAGATGGGTGGATCACC